GGAATTAACACTTCCATCACACTCTGAGCAACAAAGCTTTGAGGGAAAGGCTTCTCTCCTCAGAGCTTGCTGCCTGCAGCCAGTTAAAGAGATGGAAAGCAGCTTCTTGTTGTGGGTGCTCCAGCCCTAAGGGATGATTTGAGCAGCATTTTGTTTGCTGCACAAACCAGGCACAAAACGCTACACGACACATGGGAACTCCATGCTGTAGATGCCTTGCTCTCTCTTTGCTCTTTATCTCTGACACAGACTGTTTGTCTGTCCATCTGAGGCTCATTTCTCCTTTTCCACATTTGGAGTGCATTGCCTTGGTTTACATGTGCCACAGTGTCTCCAATGTCCTCTTACATTTCTTTGGAATACGTCTCATTTTCCTCTCGGTATATACATTTTTAAAATGCAAAGAATGGTTATAGCATCAAGGGGCAGATATGCCCAAGTCCCAGTTTATCTACTACAAGCAGCTTCTCATCCAAAGATGTTGTGAGGATTAATGAAAGACTTTTTATTGCAGGAACTAAATGTTCTGACATGCCAGAAATGTCCAAGAGCTATTATGTTCCACTCAAAGGACCTCTCTTTAGAGACAAAAATGGTAATATCATGCCTCTGCAGTGGAACCACAAGTACCATTTCAAGCCTTGTCCATAATTAGCTGCCCTTTCAGGTTCCTCTGGCAGAAATGGACTTATTTTACCTAGTGAAGTGGATATTGGCTGTCCTGAAAGACCAGGTTAGACATAAGGTATCAGCATACTTGGTTTGCCATGTCAACAACTGTACTGGGAGGAGGGAAAGAAAGAAAATCAGATTAAAATCTAAACTCGCCCACTTTCCTTGGATTCTGGTTGAAGTGTCTGTGTAACTAATGCAATCAGAATGGGCTCATAGCCACAGCTGAGCTCCAAAAGCCAAGGGGAATTCTGTCAATGGCTTCCAAAGAGAGAAGATAGAGTGTCCATAATCTTTGTGATCTGGAAAACTGTACAGGGATGAGTTCCAGGTAGCACAGTGATCTCTGAAAGAGCCAGCCCATGAGGTCTCTAAAGCTTGGTTGCCCACAGAAAAGTCACAGCCACAGAGTTTGGCATTTCTCTTTCTCTCTCTGCCTCCAGTTCATGCAGTTTTTCCTGTGGTGGATGTGGCCACAGCTACAGTAGCACAATTCAAAATTTCTGGAAATCCAGATCCTTCTAGATGTTCTCTCAAAAAGCAGATAGCTGACCTTCAGTTTGCCCTACATGCCACCAGAAGATGAGCTACTCAGCCCTGTTGGGGCAGGAAAGTGCCTCTTGGATCTCTGTGTCTGTGGATTTATGATGATGCACAGGAGTTCATGTTCTCCAGCTCAGGCATGTAGATGAAAGCAACATTCTGCACAGTTGTCTCCACACTTTAGCAGCAGTTCTCAAATGTGGCTTTATTCCATCTCCTCAATATGCACAAATGAAAGTGAGGAGGGATGAACATGTGGAAGGAAACATGAATCAAGTGCAATCCCATTACGCTTCCTTCTTAAATATTATTTCATCAATCAGACAGAAATCACTTGACAGCCACACAGCAGCACTTAACATTTGCATAACATCATGTTCTCTTCAGGCAACCTGGCCTACCTTGAGTTTTTGTCTTTGCAGCCTGTTCTTCACACAGAAAGACATTTTTATGGCTAACCAGGTTGTTTCATGTGCTGTCCAGGACGTGATTTTTCTCTCTTTGCCATGACTTCTGCCAGATGTGTGACTGCAGGTCTCCATCACTGATGTGCACACATGGGCTTTTGTGTTCACATATATGAATCCTTTAAACACTTGTAAAAATATTAAAATCTGGGGCTTTGCATGGCATGGCAGATGAATCTGAGCACTTGAAAAGTCTATTGAGAGGAAGCAGATGAAAATTTTGAGGCTTTTCTGGGGTCTTTTTTGAGACATACCACCCTAGACACTCCTGAAGGGAATTACATTGGAAGTCCTATGGCCTGTCTTCTCTACTCTAAAGAATAAAATTCCTGTGTTGGAAATAAGTGTTACTTGAAAGACGAGAGAAGAAAAATGTTTGAGGAGGAGGGTGACTCAGACTGCTAGTGACAGGCCTTAATTCACCTTCTGGCTATTAACTGAAGATCTTTTCCTAGTACAGAGTATACTCATGTTTAAATACAAATCATTGATCACTATAGCAACCCCTTTATCACATGAAGCACATTCTAGCTCTAAGATAAAAAAGCACTTTTAAACAGAAATGCACACACCCACTCATGAAAATGTAAGCACCCATGCTTTTTATCTTGTTTTATCAAGAGGAATTTTGGTTTTAAAGTAGGTAAAAGGTTGTGTGTGAATTGGTCTGCACATATTTTGATTGTTTATTTTGAATTTTTATTCTGAATGCATTAGTATCTAAACTGAACAGAAGGAACAAATGCTTCTCTTGGGAGATTTAGAAAGGGAATAAAGAATCAATATGTATTTAACCAGACTGGTTTTCTCAGTTATCGTGGCTTTAGCTGTAGGAAAAACATAGAATTATAGGGTAGCATCTAGAAATGGAAATTCCATTCTGCAAGAAATTCTGACATACTGATTTCCCCTCCTGTCAAATTGAGGACAGTGCTCAACTTTTTTTAATTTGCAACAGAGCAAAATATCCCAACAGGCAGCAGGTTTATCTGGATTATATGGTTTCCATTATGTAAAAAAATCCATTTGGAAAAAATTCCAGTGTGTGCTGTAAGTAGTAAGGTAAGGTGGTTTTTTTTTTATTATTTTATTCCAATTAAATAATAAAAAATTATTAATGACATTTTTGCTAATGAGAAAAACTGATGTGAATTAAATATAAACCAAACCTTTGTCTAGTTTTTCCCTGTGTAGAATTTTTGCAAATTAACAGTCTCTTGCAAAACACTTAAATATGGATGAAAGTTTTTGTTTGAAATTTCAGCAAGTGCAACTTCTTACTAGCTTGTATGGGGAATGTTACACAAAATCAGGCAATTATCTAGCACTGGCTTTTCAAGAAACAGTGGGAGCCTTATTTTGCAGAGCAACTGCCTACACTTGCAAGCATGAGTGAGGAGAATAAGGGTTTTTTTTTAAATACAGGTGGGATCACAGAGGAGACTGAGCTCCAGTGGAGGTTTTACTTCTTCCTTCTCTTTGCAGGAACATGATGAATTGCACAGTGTACCAGCCCATCATGGTGCTCATGAGCCCATCTGTAAATGTGGTGACCTAGATGTCATCTTCAGCTATACACCCTCAAGTCAAAAGTTAGTAGTTACTATCTTGGAGGCCAGAGATATCCCAGACAAAGACCGCAGTGGTGTGAACACCTGGCAAGTCCACGCAGTCCTGCTGCCTAGCAAGAAACAGAGGGGTAAGACAAGTGTTCAGAGAGGATCCATCCCCATGTTCAATGATAAAATTACCTTCAGTAAGCTGGAGCCAGGGGACTTAAGCAGCCACGCTGTTCGTTTCCGCCTCTATGCGGTGCAGAAGATGATTGGAGAGAAGATGATGGGAGAGCAGTTGTTCTACCTGAGCAACATCAGCCGGGAAGGGGAAGCAAAGGTGACATTGGTCTTGGAGCCAAGGAGTAATTTGAGAGTAAGTTTGATGAAAGAAATACAGTCAGTAAAATCATTCATCTGGTGAATGGGGAAGAGCTGTACTTGGTGTCTTTCATCCAGGGCTGTTAGGATCCATCTGTCCCACTGTCACTTAAAAAGTTGTCAGTAAGGGGAAGCACAGGGTGTGTCTTCCCTTCACAAAGCTGTGCCCTAGTAACAGCAGCTCAGCCAGCAAGCTTGCACAAAATCATGTAGATGTACTACATCTACACAAGTCATCAAATGCTGTGCCTTGCTTAAATAGTAAGTTGGTCCCAGAACCAACAAGGCTAATTATGTAAGGACAGTCAGTAGCTCTTGTGCACTGTCATTATGTTGGTGGACCTGTGCAACTGCCAGTGCAAGAGCTGCCTCATTGGCATTAGCTGCTAGCTTCTGGATCTCTGCATTCTGCAGTTCCCATGTTACCAGAAATGCTCAGTAGTGTTCCTTTTCATGACAGATGGAAGTGAAGAGGTGGGTCATGTGAGGAGGAACTGGCTGTGCTGCTTCATAGTCTTCCATGCACATCGCAGTTTTATCCAGCTCTGGATATGCCAATCAATTTGTGTAGATGAGCTCTGTCATGATTCATTGCCTACAAAAAGCTCAGTCAGAGGTTGTGCACACAAAATGAATAAAACATCATCATCTGGGTGAAGAGGGGGTAGAGAGAGTATCATGGTAGCAAGGAAGGAAAAAAGAAAATACACAGTACATGACCAGAAAAAAAACAATCTGCAAAATGTATTCTATCCAAAAGTCATTGTCAAGGAGATTTACTGTGCATTTGATGTAGCAGGATGTATGCTTATCTCAGAGGCTTTGATTTACATTAGTGATAGCACCTTACACAGAGTTCCTCATCTTTAAAGAGAAAGGTCAGAGCTCTGTTTTTGTAGAAGTGTTGCTCTGATTCTTCTGGTGCCCCATCATAATTCATTCTTAGTCACTGCCATTTCTTAAGAGAGGTCTAACTAAACAAAGCTACAAGATATAAATTAAGGGAGGGTGGTGGTGAATGTCCTGATGAGACTCACGGTGCTCTT